AGTTTGCCTGATGTCCCCACACCAGAGCGTGGAGCAGCTGCTCGAGCAGCAAATACCCGGAGGAGTCTTGGTCTCCCTATTGTGAAAGTGGTTGAAAAATCATGCAAATCCCAGCTCTGAGAGTCAGGCTGGACCTGCTGCTGCCGCTCTGCCCCTTTCACCACCTCCTTCCAGTCTCATCTTGGTTGCTCCTGTAGCAGTTGTTGGCTCAGCTCAGGCACCAGGACAGAGAGCTACACCGGTGTGTTTTGTGTCATGTACATCAGCCTGCAGACAGCCTTCCCTTGCTCACCTCCCCATCTCATAAAGGACTTCATGACAGAAGAAGATAGGGTGCTGTCTGTACTTAAAACGATCTGTTCCCCTTGTTGCTTACTACCCATTATCCATCAGTGTACCAGTGTTTGCCAGCTAGGGCACTGGTGCCGTTGGTGCTGGCAGTATCTGAAAGTCAGTAGCTCTTCTTGTAATTATAGTCTCTTTCCCACAAGAGAAAACATAGTCAGCATGCAGGGCAGAAGGCTCTGTTGGTTCCAACAGTTGGTTTCCATCATCCCTCAAGAGGCAGTCAGTACCTCAGCTCCTTATTCTTAAGGCTTTTTTTTGTTTGTTTTGGTATTTTGGGGTTGTTTAAAAAGTTTGTCAGGGGTCATTTTCAAGGAGAGAAGGAGAGTGTGTGTGTTGGCTGGTAGGGGGGCTTTGTCTGTATTTACCTAATCTGGCGTTATTGTGGGCCGGATACTTCATAAAGTAGCATACTTACCTGGTTCCCTCTTAACTTTGTATTCCCTCTTCACTTGGAACGTGACACCTCATTAATCTTGGAAACTTACTGGCATAGAATATTATGATACCAAGTATTAATATGACTTCAGAAAGCAGCTGTAATCTGTAAGGGCATGTGGAAGGTGAGAGCATTCTTCATTTTGAGCCTCCACCAGTGGACCTTTTAAATGCTAAGGAGATAAGTGAAGGTGGAAGGAATGAACAAAAACACAGAGAGGAACAGAGCTGGTGGACAAGGGATAAGAGACAGTGGCAGAGCCAAAAAGTCTTCAGTCATTAAGTAACGCGCCATTAAGCAACTACTGATACTGCTTTGGGGAAGGCCAGCCTGGACTTTGTAACTGGTAAGAAGGGGAGACAAGATGAACGTGAGGATTTGGGGATATGGGAGGGGCCTGTGGACCATGCAAAACTTACTAAACAATGTTTAAGGGTCATAGGTGGGAGCAGGTATCAGAGGGGCCAGTTCCAACCAGGGCCAGTCAGTACACTTACCTGACCAAGCTAGTGTCTGATTGCCACGGCCTGTCATCCTTCTATAAATCTTAACTCTTTGTGTAATCTCACTCTGCATCCTGTGTGTGCAAGTGCTGTAAGGACTGGGTGCTGGCTACTGGGGGAACTGGCATGAGTGGATGTGGGGGCAGCAACTGGAGTCAGATGAGGGGTGCCCCAAGCCCGTGGTGTCAGCAGCAGGAGTGGGCGAGGGTCTTGGCTCCAGCTGTGCAGGCAGGAGCAGCACATGTCTCAGCTGGGAGGACAGGGACAGTGTGTGTCCTGGGCACAGCTACAGGTGAAACTGGGGCAAGTGAAGCAAGTGAGGCACTTGGCACAGCATCTGGACTGGGACTGCAAGTTGCAGCCCCTGTGCCTGGTGCCTGCTCCTGACAGGGGCAGGCAGAGTATCTGTATTTTCACGTGGTTTGACCCAACATTTGTGTCTCTTTGCTGTTTATAACTCACTGGCAAACTTCAAGCTGGACTAGCAGTGAGTGGGAGGTGCAGGGTCTGGGCAGGGATATCAGGTGGGTAGAGGGCCTGTGCTGGTGTTTGGGGGGGAGCTGCGACCAAGGGTGCCTGTAAGACAGGAGTGTGAGTGCATGCATCTGCCTGGTAGCGACTTGCTGCCAGCAATCAAGTAGGAGGCCTATGAGATGGATATAAAGGGCTCTGGACCCAGGCAGAGGGGTATTGGATGGACAGAGTGACATGCTGTGCTGATATTTGAGGAATCCATGACTGTGCATGTGCTTGTGAATCTAGAGGGGGTGGGAAGGGGCATACTTTCAATAGCGAGCTTCAATCCTAACCGGATGCAAAGGAGGTCTTGGATGGTGGTACCTAAGTTCGTGTGAGTCCTGGGTGTGTTACATGTGGGTGCTGTCAAAGGCAGTGCCTTGTCTGTGGCAGCTAACTGCATAGCTGAGCTTCACTGCTGGTTGAACCCACCAATGAGAAAGCAGCTGCTATGTCTGTGGACCTGGGATGGAGACCTCCAGGTCTCTGGATGCACAGGACTGGGTTCCAGTGGCAGGGCAGGAGGAATCCCTGGACTAGTCCTGGAGATGTTGGAGGTAGCAGGCACTTATAACATCCCTTAACATAATTGGTGAAAGATTTTATAATAGATATTCAATGCAAAGGTTCTTGTGAGTCAGGAGTTCTTGAGTTATGTGCATGTCAAAGTTGAGAAAACTGTGCTGGGAAAAATATCACTATATCCATTTTCTATTTTCTTGTCTGCTGCTGACCGTTAATGGACACAGAAGAAAGGTCTATTTATGCCAATAACTTAACTTATATGGCTGCTTTTACAAAACCAGGGTGTTGCTGAAGACTATATAAGTCAAAAATGATTCTTTTACCTTAAGACTAAGAGAAGTGAAGGAGACACTTTATAAATTTGTGGGTTTAAGACTTAGGAGGTTCTTTGCCTCATTCAGTACACTAAGCATTTCAGTGAAGCTCCGTTCATGACTTCACATTCCAAACTGTAATTCTTTTGCCATTATTATGCATGATTCTGCAATGTTAAGGGAATTCTGCAATATTGTCATATAAAAATTAAACCTGTGACATTCTAGCGTAGGGATTGCTGAAGTTTACCTGCCTCCCCTCTGAACTAGGTTGCTGCATTTAAATCCTAGACAGACAGGAAATGGGCAATTTTATTTGGGATGAAGATTGTATAAATTATCTTTTTTTTTTTTTTTATTAAAGCAACAGCTTGATTTAATGAATAGTGTTGGGTTCCAGAGCTTCATTCATAGCCCCCAACCAACTATGTGACAGTAAGCATGTCACTTAACCACCGTGTCCTACTTTCACCATCTGTGAAATGCTTTGGAAAGTCATGGAAAACTGAATCATAGGTCTTTTCCATCTCTAGATTCTATTAGGTCATCCAACTGTCCATCTGCCAGTAGAAGATTGTTTCCTACATCCACCAGTGTTTTTCCAGTCTGGATTCTGTCCTCCAAAAGACTGGGCTTCCACCAGTACCTTCGGAAGATGATTTTGCAGACATCTAGACCTCATTGTCAGCAAGCTCTTCTGGCATTCACAAAAAGAGATTTTTAGTTTTGTTGTTAATTTACTTTCGTCCTGTTACTTTATTCCCATTATTATATGCTTCCTTATAGTTTAAAGACATATGCAATTTATGCAACACCTTAAAGATCTAGGTAAAATGCAAACTCTCTGTAAGGTATCTAATGTATAGAAGAAAGGACAACATAAAGTTTTGAAATTCGAGTATGACCCTCTATAAGAAAATAAGCTACTTGGTTCTTCCTGAAATTATGTCTAAGGAAGTGTGCAGGCTGCTCCAGATTTAGGACAGAAACAAGGATACAATATGGAAACTTAACAGTGGAGTGGGATGTTAAATGAAAGTGTTGGAATACTTATCAAGGATGATTAAGTAGGGAAAAAGAGAGAAAGGAACAAGTATCATTTAGTTGTTGAACATTAAAGTCTTTCCCTACATTTTTTTTCTAGACTTGCGTAAGTTATCATGTTTCCCATAATTTGATTTGCATTTGAATCTTTCCTAATATGTTAATTATTCTGGGCGAATCAATACAGTAGTTGCTTTTAAGGGTTTTCAGTTGGCATCTTGTCCAGATCTGAGCATAATGTTAATTACAGGTGCAGCCCAAGTACCTGGACATGCCTTATTTTCTCAAGCTGTAAGACTCTGCATGTGTACTTCCAATGTAGGTTTTCTTCTTCTTTATTGACCACAAGCATTGCAAAACTACTCTATTTTATATTTAAGTTATCTGATTTCCTGGAGTTTTAGAACTTCAGCAAACAGATAATTTTCCTCAGGTGTTGAAGCCACCAGCATTGTGGTATAGGCTAGATGTAGATGAAAGCTATCAGAATAACTACATTTCTTTGTACAAAATTTTTCATTTTTCAGAACTATGAATGTGTGGAAGTTATTTGGGCTCTGCATAACAGTAGTTAAACTGCTTTTAAAATGGCCATCTGGCAAACAACTGGTATGTAACATAATTTATTTGATGCAGTGCCCTAGGAGGAAAAAGCTAATGTTCAGTGCATTCAATTGATAAGGTTAATAGGGCGTTTCGTAATACAACATATATAAAGGATGTATTTTAAAATAAGAAGAAATCTGTCATGGGGGCATGTTTCATAAAATACTCAACTTTCAACAAAATCTCCTTGTCCAGGTTTTTCATTCCTCTCTTTCAGCTGCCAATGGAAATGCTTAAGTCCAGGAATGAGAACTGCATGTGTAGTCAGTCTCTTCAGAAAAGAGATTTTTGGTTGTTTTCCCTTCTCAACTTCATTTTCATTGTATTAAATTTATATATTCACATATGTTGCTAAGTTCTGATGTAACCGCAGAGTCTAAGTTAAGTGGGGCATTTCAAAGCTTCTAAAGTTTGTGTGTAGCACAACAATACAGACAATTTAAACATTTCTGTAAATAAAATCATTCGTCTGCATACTTTGCTGTTGAAAATCTGTTGCCCTCCGTAGTAGTAGGCACAGTCAGATTAGGTTTTTGGAAGTCAGGAAGTGTAGTATTTACATACACACACAAAAAACCTCTATATAACAAACTGATTTTCTTCCTTTAAGAGAAATGCTATGAAGTTAGAATGTTTATGAGGAAAGTGAACCTTAGAAAGATTTCATTCTCTGATTGTAAGAAGAATAAATATGTCTTTCATCCACAGGAAATAAAACCAGATGAAGTTACTAGACTTGCTCTTAGGACAGAAGTTAATTTTGAAAGTGTCTGCAGAAAGGTAAGGTTTGGTTTTTGTTTTCTTTCCCCTGCTGCTGTGAGTGTGAGAGTGCTCCTTAGGAAAAGGTGCATATGTGGGTGGGAGTACATGCATTTGCACAGTGTGTTCTGTATGTTATATTGCATCTTTGTTGTAGACCTTACTTCTCTAAGGAAGTTTATCCACTAGGAGTTATCTACAAAAATTTTTATAGCTGTTCAGTACAAGTGACTTGTCATCTAGGCTGGTGGGTTAAACCCTAGTAACTGGAATGGAATACCAGGAAGCATAGTAGTGGGGTTTGAGTCTTTATAAATCGATTTGTTTTGTTTATATAGTACATATACATGGTTCAGTTAGTGTAAATAATCTAAACTTTCAACAACAGTTGGAAAAGGCTTTAAATACTTTTAGATGTAGAGAGGTTTCCACATGTGAACTAAACATGATGAACATTAGCTTGAAATAAAGCTGGGATTTTTAACACCCCTATGGCTCATCAATTTTAGTGCAATGTTTCTCCTGAAGCCCACTGATGGTACATTATTAAATACTGTCTAACTATTGATGTCTGTAAGAGGTGAAATGAAGACATAGAAGTGGAAAGATGCTTGTTGAAATAAGTAGTTGAGGTTGAGAGCAGACAGGACGTTAAACGAAGAGTGAAGAATAGCAGAAATAAGTACCGGTTTAAGGGATGTGCTGCAGAACTGATTACAGAAGGTACTTCTGAATCAAAAAATATCAGTACATGAAACTGAATTTTCCTCCACATTATACTGAATTTCTGTGGGTGGTCCACTGAGGGAGTCTGAAATGTTTATAGTTCACAGGGTAAGTTTTAATGTAGAATTGGGTCATTTCCTCCTAATGACATAATGGCATCATTAGTTTGTAATATAACTATGCTGTTGCAAAGCACAGTCATATGTGATGTAGTTCAGCAATTAGCATAGTGTGCAACAGGATTTCCATGCTTCATGTGAGGAAAATCAAATTGATACAAAAATATCATAGTAATTTAGTATTTCTGGAGCAGTGTTTGGATGGAGGTATCTTGCTGCTTTTCCTTCTCTTAATGATAGAAGAGAGTAAGGCAAGGGTCACAGATATACTGACATGGAGCTAAAAAGCAGAATTCTTCTTTTAAACTTATTTGACCAAGATTTTCCAGTCTGAAGGTGAGCTAGTCAGACACTGGTTATGTTAGAAATGGTGCAGAAATTAAGATTTTGGATGTGTGAGGACAGGTGGAGAGGGTTTTCATGCTTGAAGAGTGATGCTAAATTCAAACAGTAAGACATTTTGTCATTTCCTGTGGGAGATTCTTCTGCCAAGAATTCAAATGCATCAGGCTTATGCTGGTTGCATAAAGTATAGAAGCCCCAAAATTAAATAATTGATGCTATTGTTTTAAAGGAGTTTACAGGTTTGCACTTGGAATTTTATTGCCAAGAATACAGAAGGAATGTTATTAATCTTACTGGTTTATTTTATCAAATTACTTTTTATGTATTCATAGTCATGGCTAACTGTATGCTTTCCATATTTACTTAAAATAGGCTTTCAGTTAGCCATAATCCTTGAAAACAGATAAGGTATCTTTATGGAATTGTTTTGGTTTTTAGGACTGTTCTTATTTCTGTTACTTTCTGCTGCTGGTCCTGTTTTTCAGTGGTATGAAAGTCTGTTAATCTCACATGTTGTAGTGAATGGGTCTCCTGTTTCAAATCAAGTTTATGGATGAGTGCTGTTGCTTTTTTTTAAACCCATAGAGGATACTTAACCTCACTGCAGTAGAAGAACATGTACAATTAATTATTATAGTACTGTTGACAAGTGGTGGCTAAGCCATCATGACTTTATTGATTGCTATTGGTTGGCCACAGTATATCCCCAACTAAGGCATCCCTTCTGTGCTTTAACAAAAGTTATTTTTCCAATATATTATTTCTTCTTTTGTGACAGGTATTAAACATAGGAAAAAAAAAATCATTGATTTTCTGTCCCTGGCAATATTCTGTAGGTCACATGAAATGCAGACCACACTGTTTACCTTTTCATTAACTTGAGTTTCGAAATATTTGAAGGAAAACATCCTGTGGCTGTTTTCATTTTCAGAATAGGTTTGTTTTCATTGATAAAAGGCAATCTGCTTTTAATTCACTGTGGAATGCTGAATATTAGTTTTGCATAGTGGACATGTAGTCAAGTTATTTGTTTAATTCTTTCTGCCCACTGAGATTTTATGTTCCATTACTATGTTTCCCCATATATTTTTCAGAATAGGATAAGTATACTTTTCTATTTTAAAAGAGTTTGCATAGATTTCAGTCGAGTACAATAAAACTGTGCTAACTGTTTATTAAGTGGCCCTCTAACTTGAGTTTTTATAATTTAACTGTCAGTATTGCTCTACTGATGGTTGCTAATAAGCAAATCAGAGCTATGATAGTTGCAGAGTGAGTTGGCAAGAGTCACCAGCCACATGACAGAAGACTTCTTCCTTTCCTTATTTATGAAAATGTTGTTGCACTTAACCAAGTTACTGCAAGACAAGAAACAATAGGTAAACAGTTCTTTGTGCGCTTCTGCTGAAATACTTTTTAATCCATTTTGATATTGCTGCAGCTGACACCATTGCAATCAACAGGTGATAAATTCTGTTGTAAAAATTGTAATGAATGTTGTCATGTAACTTTAACTAGACTTTATATTGTTGGTGCTTAGTTACAGCTGTTGAAAAAGGGAACCTGTGTTTCCTAGGTTTTGTCTAAGCTTTTGTGCACTGTCTGTATACAATTGTGTACTGTCTGCCACAAATATATTTGCCAGCCATTAATAAAATTTAAAAAGCACGTGGCAGATCTGTTGTCTAATGTTTTTTTTTTTAAACTGGTATTTCCAGCTGTGATTGCATTTCAAAGTGTTTGTACAGCGTATGTACCTGAACTGTTACGGGAGGCTTGGTTCATTAGTGTTGTGCTCTAGCAATCCAAAGTTATAAATCAGCAGCTGATCCTAAAAATGCTATTCATTACAAGCAGGAAACTGACTTGGGAATGGACAAAGGTCTTAGCAGTAAGTTGAAGAGAACAGTTAACTTAAGGTTTAAGGTAACAGGCAGGTTAAGATAGGTTAGTATACATAGAATAGATAGGTTAATGTATATATTAATATTTTTCTGGTATTAGAGAAATTATATGTATCATCTGTTCTGTTTCTCCAGGAAAGGGGGGACGTTGGTCTACCTGTGAATGCCTGTGTCATAAGTGCAGTTGGTTTTGTTGCCTTTGCACTAGTGCTAGCAGATAATAACTTACTGTAGTATCTCATTTAGTTTTTCTTCCAATAAGTCTCCGGCACACAGGACATGAGAAAAAAAAACCAGTGTTTTAAACACTGAGAATGACAGAATTCTGCTCCAGCATAATGGAACTCTCTACTACAAGCAACGATCTGGAGTGCCATCTTGCCTTAAGTCAAAATACTTACTATTTTTTCGAAATAGTGAAGTCTATGTGCTTCAAAATTCAGTGACTTTCAGATGGCTGGGTGGTGGTGGTGAACTTGAAACTGAAACTGCAGAGAACTGTTGTATTTTTCTTTTAAGTGAAGAATAAAGTACCAGTATACATTATTGTCAGAACTTGAGTTGAGCACATGCTTCTGACTTGCAAACATACCAACAAATATTCGCAGATGGTAAATACATCCTCTGTTTTTGCTTCCAGATACAATCTTCACATAGCCTTAGTAGCATGCTCTTGCAGAGAGCTCTAAATCTGTGGTCCTTGAGAAAAGCACCACCTTTTCCTACTAAGTTCTGTATTTTCACCTGTTACTCCAGTACTGTCATCTTTGAATCATGCAGATGCTTGTCTGCAAAGAGGATTATGCACAGCAGATTTTGAATGTATTGTGATCATCAAAGTTTGTTGGGGCCATGCCACATCCCTCTGAGTCTCAAGACTACTGAAAAACTTGCCACAGTTTCTAAGTATGTTGAGAAATTTCTTCTAAACCAGATATGTAAGCCATTACTAGCTCTTAGAAGCTTTTTTTTTTTTTGCTAATGTAGGGCCTGGTGAGCTTATTTTGGATTGCTTCATGTTCAGGAACCAACTTTGTCTTGTTTGGAATTTAAAAGGAATTTGAAGGCTTTAGAAACAGCATCTTGGGCAGCTCATGCACAGCTATAGAGAGACATGCCAGGATTTGGCTGAGCAGCCTGGTGCACAGTATGGTTCTGATCATTAAGTCTAAGCTGCATTATGAGGATAGCTGTACTTAACATGATTTTGGAGGGGTGATATTAGTGCTGTCTAGCTTTAGGTCTAGATATTTTTCAAGGATGCCCAAAGGCTGTTATGCTACAGTTAAAGCTCTGGGGGTGATTTCAGGGGTGAGTGAATTTAATATCTATCGCTCTTTACCTGTATGGCTCAAATGAATTTAGGGTTGGGGAACCAGCTAAAATACTAACAGTAATAAGAAAAGTTTTTTCGCTGATTTATCAAATGAGAGTTCTACTGCTTCACATGTGAGAAGACCCTGTTTCACCTCCCAGACTCCTCTGAATTCGTTAGGTCTCTGATGCAGGACTAAGGAAATCCTTGGGCAAGAAGGACATTAGAAAGAGGTAGAAAGGTATTTCTACCCAGGACAGACAGGAACAGAAAGGATGAAGTTACAGGACTATGTACTACTTCTATTTCTTTCAAAAGAGTGTTTAAATCACGCTATCAAAATAGCATTTCTCAGATTCATATCACCTTATTTTTAAGCTATGCAGGTGACAGTCTGAGATTAGTCTATTAATCCGTCCACAGCCTCTGTCATCAGTAACCAAAAAAAGAGAAGGATAGCATCATCACAGTGCTTGTACTATTTTATGTTCTTTGTAGATTTACACTGAAAACATGTTTCACACCTACGTCTGTGAAGGGCAATTTATGAAAGGCTACTAACTTTAAAGCGTTAATTAATAGTCAGTAATTATTTGGAGCATCAGGTTCCCC